CCCACCAGTGCCCCCGGGAGGAAAAAGCCCCGCGCCCGCCCGCCCCGCCCTCGGGAATCTCGGGGTACTGAACCCGGGGAAACTTGGAGACCGGAAGGGGCGGGGCCAGACTCACCCCTCCGCCGAGCAGGACGACGGGCGCCCGCCCCCAGCTCATGCAGGCGGGGCTGGGGGAGTGAGGGAGCAGACAGACAGACACACACACAGACAGACAGATCTCAGGCCGCCCGCTCGCCCTCGCGCGCCTCTCGCGGGACGCGCCCGGCCCGGGGCGGCCGCCGCCTCTTACCTGCGCGGCAGCCACGTGCCGCGAGCGGCCTGGCCTGCCCCGATCCGGCCAATCCCGGCCCTCCTCCCGAGGGGGCGGGGCCGCTGCGGCGGCGGCCGGCACGTGACGGCCCTCGTCCTCTCACGCGGCGCCGCCTCAGGAGCGGCGGGCGGAGGCCAATCGGCGGCCAGCCTCGCGGGCCACGTGACGCCGTGGCTGCCTCAGGCCGGGCCCGGAATGTGCCTAGTAACAGTCCCCTCCCCCTCCTCCTCCTGCTCCGCCTCCTCCTCCGCCCCGCCCCGCCCCGCGTTAGCGCCCCGCCCCTCTAGCCCGCCGTCCCCGCTGGCCCCGGGTGTGAGCCGCGGCTGGCCGAGGAGTGGCCCCGTAAATGGGCCCGGGAGACAGGCGGTGGGAGGCCCGGAGCCCAGGCCTAGCCGGGCTCCCTGCCCGTGAGACCAGGGCACACGAGGTGGCAGGCCAGGGCTGGCGTGGCCCCCGCGCGAGCCTGTCCCCAGGAGCGGCCCACCCTCAGTCTTGGCTCGCCTTACCTTCATCCGCCCCCCAGAACCAGGACCTGCCCTACATAACCTCCCTGGGGCCCACACACACCCAGTGACCCAAAAATGGAGAGGGGGCCAGTGAGAGGTCAGGGAAGGGAGGAGGCGGCGCGGCGGGGGGAGGCTCTGCCTCCTAAATGTCACCCCTGTGTCAGCGCCAGGGCCCGGGGTCCCTGGCGTGGTTGGCTGGGATTTCCCCAGGCTGAGTTCAGGCTCTTCCAGGTCCCTGTAGAGTTGGGGGCGGCCTCCCGGTCCCAGAGAGATCCCTGTGTGTGTGTGTGTAGGGAGGGGGTCCGATATTTGGGGTTTTATAGCTGGGGTCCGAGTTATCTTTGGAGTGGTTTCTGCGACTTGAGTCCAGTGATCACCCACTAAGACCTCTCAGGTTCAGTGAGTTTCACGTCGCTTGTGGTCCCCTCTCTCCATCTGTGGGTCAGCCGAATGTGCCCCTCACCCCCAAGTGTGCAGCTTGTTTTCTCTGACATACGAATGAATCTGGGGCTTCTCATCTCTGGCTAGGTCCTAACATGTAATTCTGGCCTGGGGCTCTTTCTAATACTGGTTTCCCTTTTCGTCTAGGTCTATGTTTTGGGTCCCCCTAACTACCAATCGAGGGTCTGAAGTCTAGGGCTAACGTGGGTCTGGATTCTGAGATTCTACGAGTCCTGGGGGGGGGTTCCTTCTTTTGAGAGGGGGTCTCTCCCCCTCTAGGTTTGGGTCTGTGGGATTAATTGGTTGAGTGTGCAGGGGGAGGCGAGGTGTCTTTCTCTGGGTCTGGGGTCTGTCTCTGGGTCTGGGGTCAGCTTCCTCAGGACTGCTGCCTCTGGCGTGTGTGAGTCAGGGGTCTCTGGCGCTCTCTCTTTCCGGGTCTCCCCGAGTAGGGGTGGGGGCTGCAGAGTCTCTCCCTCCTCCTCCCGCTCTCTCCTCACTAGCTCGCTTCCCCCGCCCCCCTCTCTCTCTGCTGCCGCTGCTGCCGTTGGCTCTTATTCTCCTCCTCCTCCTCCTCTCCTCCTCTCCGCTCCTCTCCGCTCCTCTCCTCCTCTCTCCTCCTCCTCCTCCTCCTCCACCTCCTCCTTCTCCCCCTCTCTCTCCCCCTCTCTCTCTCTCTTCTTTTTCTCCCCCGTCCCCCCGCCCCCTCCCCCTCAGG